TGTTTCCATACAACAGACGGAAAGACAAGTTCAGAGAAATTTTATTTGAAAACTTTGTCATATCAGAAGAAAAAGTTTGACACTAAAAATGAAGTTTAAAATACTTTGTATTGACTTCCTTTTCATTCGTTCGTTCGTTCGTTCGTTCGTTCGTTCATTAATTAATTAATTAATTCATTACAACACTGTTGTCTGGAGAAAAATCGAGAGTTTGATCAAACAAGTATATTATTTCAGGATAGATCTGATGGTGGAAAACAAAACGAGAAATAAGCCTTGCCCAAATAATTTTGTTAACATTCAGGAAAGGAAGTCGTGATCTGAAAAAAAGAAAACGCTTCCTGTTACTCTGCCTAACGCCTAGAATCCATTCATTTATTTACAAAATCCCAAACTCCCTTGTTTTGTTGCGCTGGAACAGTTGCGTGCATCATAGCACTGTATCTGCATATTGTAATCAGAACAAATACCTTACACACCAATCAGCAAGTTAAACCAGAATAGGGTAACCTAACTGAATATTATGGTACTATTTTATTATGAATATTATTTATTTCTGACTTATTTCTTCCAAGTTTTCAATGTTTTAAAAAAAGCTTCGCTATTCAAAGTACAACTCAGACCAGAAGAGTTATTTGGCTCATGGGTTTTCCCTCTTGGAAGTCCAGTTCTCTCTCTCTCTCTCTCTCACACACACACACACACACAGAGAGAGAGAGAGAGAGAGAGAGAGAGAGAGAGAGAGGCGAACTCAAAAGAAGACAGGTTATAAACAAAAGACGCAAATTGGCGAATGGCATGGCCGTGTTAGGGTGTCGCAACAAAAACAAGGAAGAGTCTTTTTGCCCTGAATGACTAAAAAGCTTGGTGTGGAGTCGCCCATTTCTGCAGGTGCAAGAAAGCGGAAAGAAGTTCTACCTAAGCGGCTTCTACCCAGTCAAGACGAGTCCTGGATATTGATGCCTGCAAGTGGGCTCAGCAGAACCACCCACCACGGGCGCAGCGCGGAGTTGCTACAGGTTTTTGCTTGCAAGCAAACAGCCGTGGCTAAAGGGAGGCACCTGGAGAGGAGGGAAGAGTGGGGATATAGGCGCTCATCTTGAGGAATGGGGGGGACATGGGCGCCCACCGCAAACGAGGGAAGCTCCCAGCTCTTTCCCCTTCTCATGCCCAGTTTTAAACACCGGCAGCCTTTACTGATGTGACGTGGGTGGACGAGGGACGTTAACACAAAGCACTACGCATTTCCTTTTAACTCCCTTGCTTTCAGCCATCTCGACTTCTCTATACCTGTTCTGCTTTGAATGATGGCGTGTGTTTTTTTCCCGGGAAAGGGTGTCGAGGGGGTGGGGAGGTGATGGATCATGCGTGCCCGGAAGTTTCCCGCATCCGCTCCTGACTCCAGTGCATTCTGATGATCTTAAAAAGTGCTTCCACAGAATACGAGGGGAAAAAGGTTCAAGGTGAAACTCAAGAGACTTTTTCAGGCTACGGCTCCTTTCGACCACTTGGTTTTATCCCCCCGCCCGCTCCCCTTTCCATGCTGGGAAAATCTGCAACGTGCGTATAGCACGGGTGGAAATATATGGTTCTGCATCTGGCCTGAGCTCCAGGTGACCAAAAACTTATCGGGAGGGTGCAAAAGAGAGAGGAATGTGATCACATGGCAGAGCAAAACGGAGTTGGAAGGGGCCTATTAAAGGCCATGGAGTCCAACCCCCTGCTCAATGCAAAAATCCAAGTCAAAATAGATCTGACAGATGGCTGTCCAAATTTCTCTTGAATGCCTCCAGCGTTGGAGTGCTCACCACTTCCCCTGGTAATTTGTTCCATTGTCATACTGCTCTAACAGTTAAGAAGTTTTTCCTTATACAAAATATACAAAATTATACCTGGCTTCCTGCAACTTGAACTCATTATTATGTGTCCTGCACTTTGTGATAACTGGGAATAGATCCCACTCCTCCTCTATAGGATAACCTTTCAAGAATTTGAACAGTGCTGTCCTATCTTCCTTCACTCTTTTTTCCCCTCAAGGATAAACATGGCCAGTTCTTTGTCTTTCTTCATAGGGCTTGGTTTCCAGTCTCTCAAACATCCTTGTCCTCCTCCTCTGAATTTGTTTCAGCTTTTCTTCATGCTTCTTAAAGTGTGGTGTCCAGAACTGCACACAGTATTCTAGTTGAAGCCTAACTAGTGCTGAATAGAGAGAAACTAGCACTTCAGAGGATTTGGAGGCTATACTTCTGTTAATGCAGCCTAAGTGAGCATTTGCCTTTTTTGCAGCCGCATTGCACTGTTGGCTCATATTTGGCTTATGATCTACTACAATTCCACAATCTTTCTCTCTTATAGTATTACTGAGCCAAGTAGCCCGCATCTTGTAATTGTGTGCTTGTTTTTTCTCCCCCGGGTTGTAGAACTTTGCACTTATCCCGGTTCAATGCCATTCTGTTGTTTTCAGCTCAGTGCTCGAACCTATCAAGAACTTTTTGAATTTTGTTTTTGTTTTCCGTCCAATTTTGTGTAATTTGCAAATTTGATGAGTACTCCTTGCACCCCCTTATCCAACTCATTAATAAAAATGTTGACGTGTGCTGGGTCCAGGACTGAGCCTTGTGGTGCCCCACTTGTTACCCCCTCCCAGTTTGAGAAGTAGATCCACCAGCGCTCTTGCATTAGTTTTCTTCCTTTACTCTTATTTGTCGGAAATACAGTTCAACAGACGTGCGTTTGTTTGTTTGCTTCTTTGTTTTTTGGGGGAAACATGCTCAGGCCACCTCTAGTTCCCTAAATCTTAATTTCGCATGTTTTTGTAGCCCAACATTGCAGCAATTGAAGATCTCCAGGGACTCCGCCCCCACCCCATTTTTTCCATCAAAACTTAGTACAAAAATAAATAAATATGCAAGCGTCAATTAAAAGTTACAGCTTCTCCCTCCCCTGCTTCCCGCAACTTTCAGCCTTTCTTGTTCCCTTAATTCCTGCCTAAACGGTTTTGCTCTGGGAGAAGAAATCTTTTCTAGAGGAAGGGGGGGGAGAGAAACCCTCAAGAAGAGAAGGGTATTATTGTTTTAATCCTCTTATCCGCAGTCATTTTAAAACAGGGTGTTTTGGAACCTGAAATGGCGTCTTGTCCTCCCCAATCCCACCCTAAATCCTTCTGGGATGGGAGAGATTCCTAGGGGCTAGGGACCCCTGGCTTCTATTAGCAATCGCTGCAAAAGGCTTTCCACAACTGCACCGTTCGACTGCAAAGGCATGACAAAGCCGAAAAGCAAATAAAACCAACGCTGCAGTGAGTCGAGGCTGCCGGTTTTGGCAAGGGGGGGGGGAGGCAAGCCCTCTCCTGCCTACAGAGGTAAAGCAGAGAGACCCACAGGCTTGCTTCTCTGTGTGAGAAAGAGTAAAAAAAGAATTATTATTTTTTTCAAAAAAAATGTGTCTTTTAAAAAAAGAGGGTCCTATTCCTCCACATAGCCCCATTGTGTCTCTTTTACTTCACCCGCCCCACTTTAATCCTGCCGGATTAGGGAGGAATCAAAATTTTAATCCCACCCCCCGCCTTCTCCTAAACCACGGCAAGGGGCAAAACTGTTAGAAGCCACCTTTTGTCCGCGATCACGATATCGAGTCGGCTTCTCAAATAATTCCCGATGCCTTTTAGGGCCCAGGATATTTTGCTTAGCCTTTCTGTTTTGGGGTTCTATTCAACCCACTCCTTTCCGGAGGAAAGTGTTTACATCTGAGTAGACAGGTAAAAGGTTGCACCCCTAGGCCTGTTGAGGTTATTCCCAGAGAAAGATGGATAGGCAGTGGGGGCGGGGGTTGACGGAGGGGCAGAGTGCAGGACTGAGATTATCATTTTGAATGTGACTCAGAAATTGAAGAGTCGGAAATGTATAGCAGGTAGCACAAATTGGGGCTACAGCTGCCCCAGGTATGTGAAAACTGGAGAAAAGTAGGAGGGTTTCCCCCTCTGATGAGTAAGATGCCTTTCGGTCTCTATCAGGAGATAACTGGTATAGGATACTAGTGATAACTCCAGAACCCCAATAGCTTTACTCCCTTTCAACTAGTGGCGTTACCCAACCAGCTGAAGACCAGGACAGAAATGATGGGAAGAGGTCAAGATTTCATTGCACTGCATGAGCAAAAAGCTGAGAATTGGGCGGATGGCAGCGATCTCAGTGAGTTGACCAGCATTTCCTGGAAACGTTTCCAAGCATCCTGTAGGACGAAAACTTTGATCTTACAGACACGGAAAGACTCAAGTGGCAACTTTAGAACTTCTGCCAAGGCTCTGATCTGGATATTGACCTCCCCGACAGGAAAGGCGTCATGAAACGATGCAACTGTGCTTGAAACAGAAGGACCAGGAGATCAACCAGCAGTGGGGAGCAGACACCCATTCACACTTTGGAGGGGAAGGTGAAGGATAGGGATGATAACAACTATTTGGGGAATCAGGAGCGGTAGGGTTTGGAGGTTAGTAGGCCCCATCTTTGTAAATAAGGCCAGTCCTCGCCAGAGTGGCCAAGAGATGCCTCTGCTTTGAAGAGCCCCATGGAAATCTGGGGGCCCTTTTGCCTGCCTCCCTCCCTCACCCACCACCGTCTCCAATTCTCCTAGGCCAGCTTGGCTGGCGGGCTAGCGGTTATTATTATCTCCCAGGGATTCAATTAGACTTATACACCTGACTAGGCTTGGAGTAAATGACCGGAATGCGAGGATGGAGGCGGGCGGGCGCAACAGTCACAAAACGCCCCCTTCTCGACTTGCGATCAGAGAGGGCGGGAGATGTGGCGGCGGCAGGAGGGAGGGGAGGAGACCAGCGAGCCTTCCGATTGATTGACAAGGCGATGGGCCACTGAAAGCCGTGCAGGGGAGCTCCTAAGTCTGTGGGAAGCTCCTTTTAAAACTCCTTCCTGAAGCCTCCTCCCCCAGTAGATGGCAGCTTGGCAGGGCCGGGAGACAAGCCCGGGAAGAAAAGAGGCGGGAGGAGGAGGAGGAGGAGGAGAGGCTGGAGTAAAGCGCGCGAGCCCCGTCCCCCCCTGTCTGGAGGGTTGGCAGGCGCGCCAGACGGAGGAGAGCCTGAAATCCTGCCAGGCCGCCGGCAGGCAACCCAGGAGGAGAGGGAAGCCGCCGCCGCCGCCCCCCGTGCCCAGCTGGAAAGGTAGGCTTCGTCCTCTCGCCGCGGGACAGGAGGAGCCTCTCGGCCCCGAGGCTTTCCTCCCCCCCAGGAGGGGCGCGCGCGGGGCTGGGGCGAGGCAGAGGGGAGCGAACGAGGCGCCGCTCCGCGCCAGCAACTCCGAGAGGAGGGATCGCGGCGCCAGCGGGGTGGCGGTTGGGGAACATGGGTCGGGTTGTCCTCCTGGCAGAAGTTTCCAGAGCCCAGTCCCGGGGCGCTTGGTGACAGCGCTTTCGGATCTGGCACCCACCTGTATATCCTCTCTTCGTCCAAGAGGGAGGGGGGGGCGCCTCCGGCTCGCCTCCTCTTTGCCTCTGGAGGAGTCCGCTGCTCTCGTTTGGGCCGCCTTGGCTTCATTCGAGAGGTACTAGGGTTCGCCAGAAATTTTTTCTCCCCTTTCCTTGACTTCGAGACCATTCAAATGCAGTTTTGAGCAGATGGTTGAAGGAATAACATTCAGGCGCACAGATTCGTTTGGTCAATGGGTTTTTCCTAGTTTAGGAGGCGGCAACCCCAAATGGTTTCAATCCCCTGGGGGTGGAAATGTTCAAATTTGTCAACGTCTCCAGCTCTTCTCTTTGAACTCTTGAGCTGTTGCGGGAAAACGAAGAAGGTCAAAGTTTAGTCTTGGCTTTTGTTTAGTTACCTTTCTTTAATCATTTAGCCACACACACCCGCCCCGTCGATGTTTTTGGTCCTCCGTCTGCTCTGCTTTCTCACTATCCCAAATAATTTGCCGAAGGGCATGTAGTGTTAACAACGCATCTCTTCATTTGTAAAGGTCGTAGACGGTAAATTTCACCCCTATTTACATAATGATGTTTTAATAAGTTAAACGGTCTTGGGAGGCTCATGGAGAGAGATCGGCGCGGCGCTGGGAGGGGGGAGAGCTGAAGGCAAAGCAATGAGGATCCAGGCAAATCCCACTCAAAATAGAAGCGGCAGTGCCGGGCCAGCGGCTATTCCGATGTTGTGTTTTGTGTGGGCTAACAAGAATTTAAACAGCTGGGCGTCGGAAAGGATGTCAGAGATTTCCGGGCTAGACTAGATGTTCTCGAGGTGTCCCAAGTTCCACTCTTAAGACAAATTAACTTTAAACTCCAGCGATTCAGTGCAGCACAAACGGCTAAGGAGTAGGAGCCCTATGTAATTTGTTAACCACATAATTTGCATGTATGAAAATATTTACTCTAAAGCAAGTCAAGCTGTGTTCAGCGGGACTTTATTCCCCAAGTAAGTTTACACGAGCTGGCTGGATAGCTCAGGTGTCTGGCTGTGGAGCCAGAGGTCCCCTCACCCCAAGAAGAGCCAGCCTGTGTGGCCTTGGCCAAGCTGCACAGTCCCAGGATGCCCCCAGAAGAAGGAAATGGTAAATAACTTCTGGGTACTCTCTACCTAGAAAACTCTGAAGACAGTCACCGTAAGTCAAAATTGACGACACACGATTATTGTTAAATTTACACGCGACTAACCGGGCTCTGGCCCAGCCAATCTGTCTTTTTTGTTTTCTTCTGCTCCGGCCATCTCACCCTCCGTCCCCCCCTCCTTCTGCGCTCGCCGGGCGCCGAGATGTAAGTTAGTAAGCTATGGTGATAAATCCGGAGCTGGACCGTTCAAACCTATCTGCGCCGTCGCCCGGCTGCGAACTCCAATGAAGATCATTCGGCGCCCTTTTAGGTCAACAGGAGACTTCGATAATCTGAGGCCGAGTCTTCCTCGTGACCCGGGAATAACGGATAGGCGAGGGAAGGAGAAGGCTGAACGCGGATTTGGGGCAGGACAGTGCGCCTTGGGTCTTTTTAAGGAGAAAGGCGGAGTACGAATATTTTACGTAAATAAATAATGCATAAGGGCGCCCTGTTTGTTCCAGGCCACCCAAAAATGTTAGTGTTTGATTAAGGAATATTTCTCTCCTTTTTCCTGATAATCGGGCCACAAACAGAACAAGCAATTCTACAACCCCAACTCTATTGCGCTAGATCCAAAGTGTGTGCAGGATGTTGTTCCAAAATCTGTGCGTCTACTTTGGATCGAGGCAGATGTATATTTGCATGGCACCTACGTTTCTTTCTGCCAGGCGGATCGTGTACGTAGGTTTTATAACTTTTGAAGCCCGTAAAATTTGATGAGTTTCACATGCATATCTTAACGCATTCTACTTTGGAGGCAATCCCATTGGTATTATGCTTCCGCGTAAATCTTTCTACCTACCATCTACGGAGTAAGACCTGCTGCAAATGAGTCGGTTTCGCAATCCTAAAGGTATTTAAGCAGTAAATTCCCCGGAATCGGGCTGAACTTCCCAGTGAACCCTGCACAGGATCGCACTTCTTTACCCCACCCCCTCCCCCGCGACGATCGTGGTGCAGGAAATTTCTAAGGAGTTAACTGAAGATCAGAACCATTTATCCTCCACAAGGATTTAAAAGATTCAAATGAGTCGGGAAAACTGGGTACGTGAGGGGATGTTGCAAAATAAAAAGAAGAAAATAGTTTTAGAACTTTTTGGTTTGCTTGGGTTTTTTTTTTTAATCAGTACCAGTAATTTTGGTTTTGGATTCGCTTATCTTTCGGTTTCTGAGCGGTTAAAACAATGCCTTCGGGAGGGTGGGGGGGTGAGGAAGTTAGAGAAACTTTAGGAAGTAGTTTTCCAAAACTGATTTGGGAGCGGGGGAAGGAAATTTGGAAACCACGCGGGGAGCGGGGGCACCTGAAAATATTTATCAGTGCTTTCAATGGTTACTGATGTCGCCTTACATATTTTGGTTGCTGTCGTTTAGTTCGACGTTCCGTTGAAATCGATGGGACTTACCGACGTTGTCTAGGACGGTTAGTGCCACCAGTGTTTTCCTTCAGGTCTGTTAAGCAGATACATCGTGTAGCTTTATGGGCAACTAATCTCATCCGTCTATTATTTTAGTCTTAAAATAATTTTAAAGATTCGACGAGTACATTTACCTAAGAGTAAATTCTTTGGATAAGTCCCTGATCTCCATTAAACTGGAATTCAAAAGCTTGTAAAGTATAGCGGGCCTAACAAAACAAAACAAAAAGTCCGTAGGTTTCAACAGATAAATATCTGAGCAGAGCAGCCCTGAGATAAGGGAAGCAGAGGCTCCCAATTCTGCACCGCTAGGTCAGGAATGAAGGAAAGTCTCTTTGAAACAACAGATGTCCCAAAAAGCTGCACTCATTCATTCAAAGAATCAATCAATCAAGAACTGGACTCGAAACAGTTCACTTTTAAACTATCAAGGTTACACCCTCAAGCATGCAGGGCAGAAACGGTTTTAACGCGCCAGAGACGCTGTGCTATATTATTTGGGTTGTGAAGAGAGTTATCCCTAGCCTAGTTAAGCCGGAGTAATTGATGTAAACCCAATTGGTTGAATTTGTGTGTGAAAGGAAGCCTTTTAAACTTGATTCTTTCTTGGAAACGGCAAATGGAAAGCAATTTCGTAGAATTATTATTATTTTTTAAGGTGAGCTTATTTTGATTGTGACCATTTTGGAGATGTAACGATATGTCCGTTACCAGACTAGTGCTGTTGCAGATAAACGCCCTGGCTCAAAGGATCTCATTTTCCAAAAACTGAGATCTGGTGTATTATCCGATGTCTTTAAGGGAATGAGTACAAATATTATTAATAATAATCATCATCAAGGGACGTGGTGGAGCTGCGGGTTAAACCGCAGAAGCCTCTGTGCTGCAAGGTCAGAAGACCAAGCAGTCCTCAGATCGAATCCACCCCACCGGGTGAGCTCCCGTCGCTTGTCGCAGCTCCTACCAGCCTAGCTATTCGAAAGCATGTACTGTAAATGCAAGTAGATAAGTAGGGACCACCACGGTGGGAAGGTAACGGGAAGGTAACGGCGTTAGGTGTCTAGTTGCGCTGGCCACGTGATCACGGAAATTGTCTAGGGACAAACGCTGTCTGTATGGTTTGCAGATGGGGATGAGCACCGGGCCCTAGGGCCGGACACGACTGAACTAAATGTCAAGGGGAACCTTTACCTTTACAAATAATGTCTTGTACATAGACGGTATATAAACAAGGGTGTGTGTCTTACGTTGTTTCTACGTTTTGCATCGATCTTTTCCAAAAATCCTAATAGAAAACAGATCACATTATTTCCGGATTATTTAATCCCGGTGACCAAACAGATCCCCCGATTCACCCTCTGTATTTGCCTCAAATAAGGAACACACAAGGGGGGAGCTATCCCCCCCCCACACACACGTGTATGTATCGGTCGCTGCCCCGTAAAACGGATAAATCAAAATTCTATTGCAAGAAAATATACAGTATATAGATGTCCAAAATATGAACTCTCATCTGATCCCGGGAGTGTTTGGAAGGTGTGTTCACCTGACCACAAGGAGAACTCCTTTTGAAGAAACTGCCATTTGCCAACATTATTCTTCCCGTCCCTTCGTCTCCCACAAATCTTCTCTTTAAAAATAAGAACACAATCAAGTCTTTAAAAAGTTGCCGTCGCCATCTTAATGCAGGTTTACTCACTAGGAAGTCTCACTGACTGCAGTGGGGCTTTCCCCCCTCGGTAAGCATGCTTTGGCAGTGGAAGACGGGAGGGCCTGGCGTGCTCTGGTCCATGGGGTCACGAAGAGTCGGACACGACTGAACGACTAAACAACAACAACAAGCATGTTTAGGATTTCCGCTTTAATGAATTAGATCAGAAGGCTGAAGTTTTTGCTTTTTTTTATGAGAGAGGCAGGTTGAATAAGGTGACGTTTGATTTTGTTTGCTTGTTTTTAAGTGTTGCCCTGGAATGACAACTGGTCAACACGCACACCTCAGTGTGGCGCGTTCTTTGAGGGCGACCTCAAAGGGCCTTTGCCCACAAGCGCCGTTGATTCCGCGAGCTCACGGTTTTGTTCCGCTGTAAAACTTCGGTGTATTTTGTTTCGCGGAACTTCACGCTGTTCCTCTTTCTTAAGCCCAGCTGTCTGAATAAACAAC